TAGAGATGCTTTGTATTGTACTCTTGCATTTCACTAAATATTTTATATCTGTGCTTGTGGACAGGCCTTGTGGCCCCTTACTTCTGTAGAGATGCTTGTCGTGCATGTCTTGTACTCCTGCATCTCTTATATCTGCTATATACTTTCATGTCAATTGGCCTTGTGGCCCCTTGCTTGTTCTTGGACTGTGTGGTGATCTTGAGATCCACCCCGAGAGTTTCTTTGTTCTTGTGAACTGGTCGTGTGACCGTTGCTTGTTCTTGCTGACTGGTCATGTGACCCTTGCTCTTGGGTTGTGTGTTGCTCTCGACATGACTACCGTCTCCTAGACTATGGGGGTGTGTCAAACTATAATTGTTATAGTTTGTATTGTTTAGTCTAGGTGGTGTACACCTTGGTTAACTATAGGGTTAGGTTTGCTATATGTACCCTTGTTCTTGCTCATCCTAGTAATTCTTTCTTATATCTTAACAGTAACGCGGGCGAGGGGGTTCTGCGGAGAGGTGTGACAGTCGCCCATTTGGTTCTTGTCGAGAAATACATATTTCTATCTATAACTGCCTGTATCTGTGTAGTGTAGTTATTATATCTTGTAGGTAGTGCACCATTGCATTCTCCTTTGCCTATATCCATGTAACCTTTCTCAATACTTAACCTCTTTTGCCAACCTTGCTTCTACTCTCGATAGTTGCCTAGCACCAAAACCCTAAGCACTTCTAAGCTTAATTCATCAGTTCTGGGGAAGCCGACCTCAGTGGTGGTATCCCGAGGTCGACGTGGCTCATGAGGTGAAGTCAACAGCACGTGGACGATTTGGTGTCTGCGTTGTGCAGGTGGTGAGGCACAGCACGCCAATCAACTGCGAGCACCTGCTATCATGCGAGTGCAACGCTGTGCAAATTCCTTGATGCGTTGGCATGCCGTCGACTTGCGGCGTTGGCAGACCCCGACTTTGCACTGCTGGTGCGCGGTCGACCTTGCAGTGATAGAACGCGGTTGACCGTGCTCCGCTGGCAGTCGACCGTGCTGCAGTGGCAGTCGACCTGCGTGCTTGCTAGCATCGGATGTAGTCTTGCTTGCCAACTTTTTCGCAATTATTGCTGTTGAGCTCTTGCTAGTGAAACTCTTGCCAATTTTCCCTGTGAATTCGCAAGTAGTGAAAACACGAGCGAAACAACTAAGGAATGATACGATTACTCCTACACCCGTGCCTTTTCCGTAGTCTAGCTCCCGTTGTACGAGTTATCTCCGCAAAGAAATCCCCACTTAGCTGCCTAACTTGACCACTGCCACACCACTCACTCATGCTTTCGTCCTCTCCCTCCTCTTCACCACCACTGTCGCACACCACTCCACCCTCACTCAGCATCACTTTTGGAGTTGGAGGTGATAACGATTCCTCTCCCCTCATCGATCCCTGCTCACCCTCCTCCATTCCACCACATTCGCCACTAACACCACGCTCGTGTGCTGCACCACCCAGCGTATCCTTCGCCTCTGAAGCTTGTCCCTCACCACCTGGGAGCTACTGTATAACTTTCACGAGAACGGAATAAGCTCACCTGTGTTGCACCACCCAGGGTATCCCCCGCCTCTGAAGCTTGTCCCTCACCACCCGGAAGCTGTTGCATAACATCGATAAGAACGGAATGAGCTCGCTGCATACCCAGTGCAAGCAGACTCCTGGCGGCCGTCACTGCTGGTACCGCCACGCTCATTGCACCTGCTGCAGCGGACACAACGGCAGTGACTCCATCACACGAGCGCTGGCGCTGAAGTGAGAATCTGGCTTGCTTGCGCATCTTCCACCTAATGGCGAGCCTGTGAGCCGACTGATGCTTCACCATGCGGCACTTTAATGCAGCAACCATGGTTGATGTCACCTCCGATATCTTCATTTTCCTCCCACCCATGCCGCAACAACATTTTCTGATTCAGAAGCTGGTGGTGATGCCGCCTCCGCCTCAACCGCAGCAACTGCTGCCGTGGTGACAGAATTCGTTTCCGCCTATGCTACGTCCCTCTTCAGCCCCTTCCTTGGAATCTTCGAGACAGGGGTTCAGCAATGAAGATAGAGGCCTAAGGTCGAGGCGTAGGTTGAGTCCATCGAGCGCTTCATTGATGGGTCGACCAAGATTCGTCAGTTGAGTGACGGCTCGCGATATGCGCAATTCCCATCAGCCTGCTGCTGACTTTCATGGTGAAATCATGATGCTGTTGCAATACAACTGTAAAAAAATCGTTGAAGGCATGTCGATTTCGAGTAGACGCAAGCTACCAAACGTGGCGATTCATCATGGAGACTTACGAAGTGACAGATGGCCTCTACATCGCCCAGCTAGAGGAGAGCTTGACGACAATGGAGATGGAAGAGCATGAGACGGCGCAAACTACTGCGATCATGCACAACAGATCATCGCCAATCTACGGATGACCAGCAAAAATCAATCGATGCCCTCCTACGTGACTCATGTCATCTACCAGATGTCTGCTCACATCGTCAACTTGGCGGTGCAGTCTACAATAAGTGTTGTGTCATTGCAGCTCTTGAAGATGAAACTGCAAGACCTTGCTTCATGTGTGGGCATGTCGCCCAAGCGTTCGGTTGCTTGGATTGCGCACCATGTGGCGAATACAGTACTACCGGGCTGGCTGCACAAGCTCGTCTAGGACAGCCCATTGAGATGGGCATCGATACACAAGATGATGACACGTTTCCGGCTAATGAAGCCTCTCTTGAACATGTTCATGATTTTTTTGCAGGTACAATAGCATTGTTGTTGATTGTATAGAGCCAAATTTCAAAAAATGTTGAGCGTGTTGTATCCAGCCTACCATCCATGCACGCAAGATGTAAACTGAGAGCAGTTATGCGATATGTAAGGCGAAAAGCGATCATGCACAACAGATCATCGCCAATCTACTGCGATCATGCACAACAGATCATCGCCAATCTACGGATGACCGGCAAAAATCAATCGATGCCCTCCTACGTGACTCATGTCATCTACCAGATGTCTGCTCACATCGTCAACTTGGCGGTGCAGTCTACAATAGGTGTTGTGTCATTGCAGCTCTTGAAGATGAAACTGCAAGACCTTGCTTCATGTGTGGGCATGTCGCCCAAGCGTTCGGTTGCTTGGATTGCGCACCATGTGGCGAATACTGTACTACCGGGCTGGCTGCACAAGCTCGTCTAGGACAACCCATTGAGATGGGCATCGATACACAAGATGATGACACGTTTCCGACTAATGAAGCCTCTCTTGAACATGTTCATGATTTTTTTGCAGGTACAATAGCATTGTTGTGGATTGTATAGAGCCAAATTAAAAAAAATGTTGAGCGTGTTGTATCCAGCCTACCATCCATGCACGCAAGATGTAAACTGAGAGCAGTTATGCGATATGTAAGGCGAAAAGCGATCATGCACAACAGATCATCGCCAATCTACTGCGATCATGCACAACAGATCATCGCCAATCTACGGATGACCGGCAAAAATCAATCGATGCCCTCCTACGTGACTCATGTCATCTACCAGATGTCTGCTCACATCGTCAACTTGGCGGTGCAGTCTACAATAAGTGTTGTGTCATTGCAGCTCTTGAAGATGAAACTGCAAGACCTTGCTTCATGTGTGGGCATGTCGCCCAAGCGTTCGGTTGCTTGGATTGCGCACCATGTGGCGAATACAGTACTACCGGGCTGGCTGCACAAGCTCGTCTAGGACAGCCCATTGAGATGGGCATCGATACACAAGATGATGACACGTTTCCGACTAATGAAGCCTCTCTTGAACATGTTCATGATTTTTTTGCAGGTACAATAGCATTGTTGTGGATTGTATAGAGCCAAATTTCAAAAAATGTTGAGCGTGTTATATCCAGCCTACCATCCATGCACGTAAGATGTAAACTGAGAGCAGTTATGCGATATGTAAGGCGAAAAGCGATTAGATCTAAGCAGTTGGATCTAACGAGGACTACAGAGATATATAACGAGGTGTAAGGACTAAAGACATGGATAGGACGATGAGATGTCAATTGGGAACCGAGTAGGTGTGAGAGGGTTGAATGGTGGTTGCATCGGTGGACCAAAACACTATCGAATTCTATTGGTTAACAAACCTCCCGTCTGAACAAATTCTTTGCAATTTCAGCTGTCCGAACATGGTTCCCAGCCAGCAAAGGGAGTTGCGAGAGCACATCAACTTCTTGACACCTCAGCATAAAATATTTTTGACCGCAACTTCCGCAAACCTAGCGAAACCAACATAAGCAAGAACTGCCACATAACCAGACTCCTAGAAACTCCACCCCTGCCCCAGCTCCAAACCTACGATGGTGCCCACGAAGCCACTACACCAGCGATACTCGCTTAGAAATGACTCGTTTGCAAAACACAACGAAAGCCAAATGTTGAAGGTGAAATTTGTGTTTCTTGTTCACTGTACACAACCACCACTAGCTCCATGCCACGACTTGAGTAGACCCCCTCCCGCCTCTCGCCTTGTTCAACTTTAATTTCTCCCTGCACTCTAGCACAATAGTAGCCGCGTCGCGCCTCACTGCACCAAGCAACTACAAAATTTTAAGCTTAGGCGCGCTGTGCCGCGCGCGGCGACCAATCCCGATGCACAATCTAGGATGTTTTGTGCCGAGTCTTCAATAACATTTCGGGATAACGACATAACGACAATTGAATCTATATAATACAAATCAAGAATGATTAGCCATGTGTTGAACTCCTTGCTCAACAGGTCTGTCCCCGCTTGATCCTCCACATGCAAATGCTTCCAGCGTTACACCCGAATACCGCGTTGACGTGAGGGTTATTCGCTCGGGACACCTATTTGGAAAAGGAGGTTAACATAAGAGTTAGTAAAACAACGCCTCAAGAAGCAGTAGCAGGTTTCTTCAGGTTGAGCAACACCAGTGAAGACGGCCGTTGAGGAGAGAGAGGAGGAGGATGTAAATAACCCAATTCAGTACAGTCCGTTACCGCGCTGGCTCCTCCAGAGTGCCTGGCAAAGGGAGGGGGAACGAGACAAACTCCATTGCCGTGCCACCACTCCTCTGCTCCAACGCACCGCCGTCTCTCCGCGCCCCTGTCACGCGCCGCGGCCCCGCCGCGCCACGCCACGCCCGCTGGCCCTCCCCGAGGCGGCCCCCGGCATGCGCAGGTGGGCGGCCGCCGCACCCCCGCCCCGCGCCGCGCCGCTCCCGCGAGCTCTCCCTGGCGCGGCCCCCGGCCTCCGTGTGCGAGCGGACACCGCGCCCCCGCCCCGCACCCACCAGCCCTACCTTCCGTAGGCGGGCGACCACCGCGCTGAGCCCACAGACCCTCAACGGCGCAGCCCCCGGCCTTTCGCGGGCGGGCGGCCTCCGCGCCCCCGCGCCACGCCCGCCGGCACCCCCCGGTGGCCACCGCACCCCGTGGTGGCCTGCATTGCGCCCGCCGGCCCTCCCCGGCGCGGCGTGCGGGCGACCGCTGCGCCCCCGCCCCGCCCCGTGCCGCGCCCGCGGGCCCTTCCCGGCGCGGCCCCCGGCCTCCGCGGGCGGGCGGCCGGCCGCCGCGCCGCGCCCGCCGGCCCTCCCCGGTGCGGCCCCCGGCCTCCGCGGGCGAGCGGGCGGGCGGGCGGCCACCGTGTCTCCGCCCCGTCGTGCGCCAGGCGCGACCCCCGGCCGTTGCTGGTAGGCGGGTGTCGCGCGCACGCGCCACGCAAATCGCAGCTTTCTTTGCACACCTGAAATCATGACCTACATATGCAATTCGGTTTACAATAGGGTTACCTAACTCTTTTCGACTGGACGCCATGCATATTCGGCTATGTCAAAATACCTAAAACCATAATCTTATGTACACAAAGCAAAAGTTATAATCTCTACCGTTCAATACAGAAGAAAAGAGAACACACAACAACAACAAACTACAATCAAACAATAACCTAGAGATTAATTATTAAAAAATTCAAACTTCATCGCTTTCAATTCTAAAAAGCTTGCTTTCTTTCATGTAGTAGTGGCATTGCCTTTTTTTTTTAATTTTAAAATCCAAGGAAACTATCAGACTAATGTGCTAACACATTTCAAGGGTTAGAAGGGTGGAAAAAGTGGCTCATCCGTTTGATAATGAGACGTGGGTGGAGGTAATAACCTCATGCCCACGTTTTGTACTGGATCGGGCGTTTGACGCGGTTCAATATTGCCCATTCCTACATTCCAAACTGCGTCAGTTTCAAAATACGAGAATTTGAAAAGTGTTACCTTTTAGAAATAGTCATTTATATTTATTGTGGAAGCGAAGTGGATGCAATTTTTGTGCATAGTCGATAGGCGGTAATCGCCCTTCCCGAATATAACGTGTAGGTTGGAGATCATTCTTCCTCATTTTTTTAATTGCTCATACTTCATAAATAAGATCAATGCTAATTGTTTCTTCTATCCCTACCCTCTTGCCCCATTTTGTTGTTCTCCTTCCATTCCCTCCCGCTGTTTCAGGTCGTCGTGTTGCCTCGCTTATTCCCTCTGCTCATCTTCCGGCCGCCTCCGCTACTACGTGCTGTACATACCCGCCGGAAGGCGACCCCACAGCAGCCTCACCCCCTTAATATCGTAGATGCGAGAATAATATTTTCTTATATATTTCAACCCCAGATTCATCTTCGTGCAGGATCACGAGTGCTGAAATATGCGAAGCTCCTTCTCGTGGTAGCCGCTCACCCACACCCCCTCGCAGCATGCGGCTCCTTGCAAGTCGGCGAAGAGTAGAGAGTCAGGAGGGTAGGGCACGTTCGCTGGCTCTGCACCCGATCCTCTTTCGAAACCAAATGACATGTTCTCATACACTTCCACCACTTTCCCATCAACGATTATCACTACTAGAGGTTACGTTCGCTGGCTTTGCACCCGATCCTCTTTCGAAACCAAATGACTTGGTTGCTTCACTAAACCAACACTTTTCATGCTTTTAGAAGCAGTTGTGTGCCGAGAATGAGAAGTGGTTGGACAAGCAAGATTGGGAGTACAAGTAGGAAAACCCTAGAATGTTGTACCCCCTAAGGCGAAACCCACTGTAGCCTATAGAACAGTAACATGTGCAATGTTTGACACACCCCCATAGGCTAACTGGGGGAGAGCAAGGGGTCACAAGATAAGTCAAGAAAGACAAAGCAAGCTCAGGGTGGATCACAACGTCACCATACACTCTGAGCACAAGCAAGAGCCATAAGGCCAGTTCACATGCAGAGGCATATATGTAACACAAGCATCACAATAATCTATATCTAGCAAGCATGCAGATATATATATGTACATATATGTATACATATGGATCACAGTACAGGCAAAGTCTACAACAAGTGAGGAAAAGTGGGCACAAGCCCTAGCAAAGTGCAGAAACGCTGATGATCACCAGACTGAAGTGCCTTGGTGAATATATCAGCAGTGTTGGCCTGAGTGGCCAGGTAACGCAGACGAAGCTGACCACGCTGCTGCAACTCTCGAGCCAGAAAGTAACGTAGAGCGATGTGCTTCGTTCTGTGCTCCAGTCTGTGCTCCTCACACAAGGCAATGGCAGCCTTGTTGTCGACGTACAGCACTGGAGGAGAACGAGGCCGCTCTCCCAGGTCGGTCAGCAGGTAGGTGAGCCAGCGTAACTCCTGTGCAGCCATGGCTGTGGCGTAGATCTCAGCCTCACAACTGGAGCTGAGAACTAAAGACGAACGCGTAGAACGCCACGAAACTGAGCCAGAGCCAAGGTTGAAGGTGTAACCCTGTGACGACCGCTAAGTAGCCTGGTCGTCAACCCAAGAAGCGTCTGAGTGCCCAGTGAGAACAACTGAGCTCCTCCCTCCAAGCACGAGCCCCATGCCCGATGTACTGCACAAGTAGCGCAATACCCTCTTTGCAGCATCCCAGTGCACCTTTTGGTGCCTACCAGGAGCCACGTAGCGAGCCAGAAGGCCAAGAGGGTACGCTAGGTCAGGACGAGTGCAAGTCATCAGGTACATGAGGCAGCCAACTAGCTCTGGGTAAGGACCACTCAGCTCTACGGACTCATCCGAAGGCAGATCTGAGAGCGAGTGACCTGTAGCCAGAGGAGTCGCCTGTGCCGAGGACCAGGTGAAGCCGAAGCGCTGAAGGACCTGGTGCACCATGTGTGACTGAGTCAGTGTGATGGTGCGGCGTGCTCTGTCCCGGGTGATCTGCAAGCCAAGGTAGCTGCGCAGTTCACCCAGGTCTGTGCACGTGTGTCTCTTCTGCAGCTCCGACTTCACGTGGGCGAGAGCCTCAGTGTCAGCAGTGGCAAAGACCAAGTCGTCGACGTACACGAGGATGTAGAACGGCGGCAGCGAAGTGTCGGTGCGCAGAAACATCGACGGGTCAGCAATAGAAGGCGCGAACCCAAGAGCCGCAAGTGTCGTCCTCAGTGTGTCGTGCCACTCACGTGGCGCCTGGCGGAAACCGTAGACCGGCCGCCGGAGGCTCCACTGGGTACCAGGAGGAAACGACCCAGTGAAGCCAGGAGGGCAGCGCAGCCAGATCTCCTCGTGCAGGCTGCCCTGCAAGAAAGCTGTGCTGAAGTCAAGAGAGTGAAGCTCGTAGTCACGCTGAGCGGCAACGTGCAGTAGCACCTGAAGAGTGGTCATCTTCAGGGTGGGGGAGAAGGTCTGGAAGAAGTCTACTCCCTCTCGCTGACTGAAGCCTCGAGCAACGTAACGAGCCTTGAAGACAGGCGGAGAACCTGGCGGCCGCTTCACCCTGAAAATCCACATGCCACTGACGATGTTCGCCCCAGGAGGGGGAACCTCGTCGACGTAAGTGCCTGTGGACTTCCAGGATGCCATCTCTACGTCCATGGCTGACTGCCACTGAGAGGAGTACTCACCCGCGATCGCCTCAGCGTAAGAGCGCGGGGTCGGGATGTCTGGTGCATCTGGGTCTCCCTCAGGTGCAATCAGCATGGACACGAGATGAGGTACAGCAGCGGCAAAGCACTCAAACTCCTCCTGCCTGTCCTCAAGGACGTCCGTGCCTAGAGCACTTTCACCCCCAACGGACGGAGGACAGACAGACTCAGACTCAGCAACAAGACTCACGGCGTAGTCTAGACGACAGCGAGCAGCAAAGTCGACAAGCTGAGCAACTAAGGCAGACGTAGCAGCAGACTCAAACGACGGGTCAGTGACAGCAGTGGCCAGGAGACGCGTGACAGTAGGACTAGCAGCACGAAGGGAGTCAGACTCCGGGTCAGCAAGGGCAGGAAGGGAGGACGCAAGAGGAGAAGACAGAGGGACACGCTGCGGAGCAGTGGAAAGACGAAGCGTCATCTGGTGAGTGCCTGGGACAGCAGGAGGACGCTGACGCGGGACACGACGACCAGTGCGAGTAGCACGAACAGGCGACGCAGAACGAGACTCACGCGACACAGGACGAGACTCAGGCTCACGATGCTCCGTAAGACCTCCTGTCGGACCAGTGTAGGGAGAAGGACCAGGGAGGGGCGAGGTAGGCTGTAACTGTATCCGCGACTGGACAGGCTGAGGACACTCTAAGGAGGGAGCAGGACAAGGAGGAGGAGGCTGACCAAGAACCTGCTGAAGGAGCGGAACGAAGTACGGCCGCGGCCGTGAAGCGCCCCCAGAACCAGCAGAGACAGCACCAGAACCCCCAGCAGCAGCTCCAACTCCTGTAGCACTACCAGCAGCTCCAGCAGCGCCAACTCCAGTACCCCCAGTAGTACTAGCTCCAGCCGCACCGTCGGCTCCAGCACCTGCAGGACCAACCCCAGGGTCAGCAGCTACACCAACTCCAGTAGGCCCAGCGTCCTCAGCTCCACCGGCAGCTCCAGCAGCGCCAGCACCTGGAGCTCCAACTCCAGCACTAGTAGCACCTCCAGTAGCACCAGCTCCAGTAGCTCCAGCTCCAGCTAAACCCCCAGTCCCAGCAGCTCCAGTACCGCCTGTATGAGCACCTCGAGGACCTGAGGCTCCAGTACCTCCAGTCGCACCAGGACCTCCAGCGAGCGGCACCCCAGTGCTAGGAGCGCCGCTCCGAAGGCTGCATCGGCGAGCGTACCACTCACGCAGTCGCTGTGGGGAGGGAGGCGCCGGCTGCGACATAGTACCCGAAGCACCACCAGCTCCAACTCCGGCAGAACCCGCAGCTCCAGCAGCCCCACGCCGGAGGCTGTAACGCTGAGAGTACCACTCACGCAGCTGTTGTGAAGAGGGAGCGTCACCAGGCGCAGGACGGTCAGTCTCAGCTCCCTCAGGCTCAGCACCCCAAGGCTCAGCACCCCCAGGCTCAGCACCCCCAGTCTCAGCACCCCCAATCGCAGCACCCCCAGGCTCAGCACCCCCAGGCTCAACACCCTCAGTCTCAGCACCCCCAGGCTCAGCACCCCCAGTCTCAGCACCCCCAAACGCCGTACCCCTCGCAGGACCAGAGTCGACAGCTACCTCGACAGGCTTGACTGGGTCTACCTGGGAAACACCTGAGGGAGCAGGACCCTGGGGAGGTAGGGGGTCTACCGAAGTAGCACCTGGCGTGAGGAAGAGCGGCGGGGGGGGAGAAGCGGCGCAGTGCGGTAGGGGAACAGACGGTAGAAGGGTACCGACTCGTCAAAAGTGACGTCCTGGGAGGGGAAGACACGGCGCGAGGTGGGGTGGTAGAACAGCCAGCCAGGCGCGTCAGGGACAAAGCCAAGAAAGACGCAGGGAACGGCACGGGAGGAGAGCTTGTCCGTGGACGTATCGCGGACGAAGGCTCGACATCCCCAGACTCGGAACAACGACGCATCGCCAACCTTCCCCGTCCAACGCAGTGTGGGCGAGGTCTCCGGAGCAGA